GGGGACCGCATGCCCACGTCGCCACTGGAGCCTTCGGTGGAACTCCCCACGGGGGCAGTAAACGTTCAGCGGGTGTGCCGAAATCGGTGGGACGCATGCGGTGCAGCTTAAGCCTTTGGTGACGCTCCTTGTGGGGCACGAAACGTGCAAAGGGGTGTGCCAAAAAACGGTGGCGGGGGCGCATTCGGACGGCACCACCTGGGGGGCCTTGGGTGGAGCTCCCTATGGGGCGACAACACGTGTGAGGGGTATGCCGAAATGGGCTGCTGGGGCGCATACGAACGGCGCCGTTGGCGCCTTGGGTGGGGTTGCCTGTGGAGCAACGAAACCTGCGAGGGGCGTGCAGACAAATGGGTCGCGGGGGCGCATGCGGGCGGCACCATTTTGGGCCTTGGTGGAGGCTACCTATGGGGCCACGAATCGGGTGTGGGGCGTGCCGGAGCGATGGGGCCCAGATCGCCCCGAGAGGCCCCCCAAGACCCCCCCCAAGCCAAAGCCCCCAAGAGGGCTTCAAGAGGGCACAAAAAGGCGCCCCGCACTGCGCAAAGGCGGCTCCGAGCGGCCTTCAAAGAAGAGGCCTCCACGAGGCTTCCCCGAAGGCTCACGGAGCGCATCGTCGTGTCGTCGTCGTCGTCGTCGTCGTCGTCTTGAACTCGCCTGGGTATCGTAGGTGGATGGGCTGGTGGGGTCCCGCAAAGTGTCGACAACTTCCTCAGGGCTTCCTGAGGCTCAAGTGCCCAGGGGCAGCAAGTGCCCATCTGCTGTTGCGTCTTGCTTCGCGTGCCACGCCCTCCGGTCGAAGATCGGTCTCCTTGCAGTCTTCGAGGGCCCAGAGGAGCACACTGCCCGAGGGGCTCTGGAGGGATCCAAGGCCCGAGAGGGCCCCTACGCAGACGGCCCAAGACTGCACCACAAGGGATCCCCCCGGACGACGAAGACGAGCCCAGGACGGCCCCTGGGCCCGGGGGGGCCCCTCGAGGCAGCCCAACAGGGCCCAAGGAGACCCGCGAGACGACGGCCCGAGGAAGTCCCGCGAGAGCTTCTCGGGAGATCGAGGCGAGAAGTGTCACACGAGACGGCCTCCTGGGCGAGGCTCGGCGGGTCGCCGCACAGAGCGCAAGTGCGCTGGCACGGCGGTGCATGTGCCGCCCGCAGCTGGGATACACCGCTATGCCTGCTGTGGCCGCCTCGCTTCGCGCCCCGCGCCCCGCCTTCATGCGGGACCCGCGGTGCTTCGTCGCGCCCTCGCGAGGCCGGCTTGAGCAGCACGGCTCCCTGGCCGAGGCCGCGGCGCGCGAAGGTGGCGCAAGAGCAAGCCGCACGCAAGCAAGAACTGTCGGAGCTCAGTGCGGATGTCTTGGATGGGCGCCGGGCTCCCTTCCCCGGCGCGCGGAGCGCGCCAGGAGCGGCGCCGAGGGCGCCGCGAGGGAGGCCCGGGCGCCGATGCGACGGAGCCGCGCGGAGCTCCGAAGTTGTGCGCGCAGCGCCAGCATCTTTGTAACCCTGGGGGTTGATCGAGGTTCTCTCGCCCTCCTCCACCCGCCCAAGATCTGCCAACATCGAATCGGGAAATCGGAGGATCGAATCGGAATGCGCGTCGGATCGAGCTGCTTCGCCATGGAGTCGAAATCCAGTCGAATCGGCCGCGCCAGGATGCACAACCGCGCCGTGTGAACATCGGACAACACCGGATCGCCCCAGGAGCTGAAGGGAATCGGGTCGAGCCTGGCTGATCAGAGAAAGAAGCAGCGGCATAAACACGAACTGTTTTCTATCACGGACCCTGGGAAGAGCTAGCTGCGCCTGTGGTGGCCCCCATGAAAGGGGGAAGGAGGGAGAAGCAAGAGGAGGAGGAGGAGGAGGACGAAGAGGAGGAGGAGGAGGAGAGGAGGAGGAGAGGAGGAGAAGAAGAAGCAAGATGAGGAGGAAGAGGTGTTTGGTCTGATCCGTCTAAGAGGCTTGGCGGAGAGGAAGAGGAGGAGGAGAAGGAGTAGGAGGAGACGGAAGAGGAGGACGTTCTGGTCTGGTCCGAACGAAAAGCTACACCCAGGTCAGGGTGGTCTTTCAAGGGACCTGCCAGGGCCTCTACAAGGCAGGGGCGGGATTTGCCAAACGAGGACCCAACACAACAAGATGGCTGACGGTCCGCGCGGGTCCACGCGGATTTTTGGATCCGCGCAGAGACGCGCTAAGGAAGGCGCCGGAAAGGCCGCCAGGGAGGCTCAGGCGCCGATCCGAGAAGTCCGCGCGGAGCTCCGAAAGTTGTTGATTTCGAAGTGTCTTTTTCGGGAAGCGTCATTGCATTCGTCCCCACAGGGGGCGATCTAGATCATGTCGCCCTACTCCGCCCACTCAGGATCTGTCAACAGAAAATCGGAAAAGCAGATCGAATCGAAGGGTGAATCGGATCTGGCTGCATCGCCACGGAGCCGAGATCGAATCGGATCGGCCGCGCACGGATGCACAATCGCGCCGTGCAAGCATCGGACAACACCGGATCGTCCGAGGAGCTGAAGGGCATCGGGTCGAGCCCCGCAAATCAGAGGACGGAAATACGGCATGAACCTTAACTGTTGGCAATCCGCGCGGATGCCTTGGATCTGCGCTAGACCCGAAGGCGCCGGAAGCGCATCCAGGGAGGCCAAGGCGCCGATCCGAGAAGTCCGCGCGGAGCTCCGAACGTTTCTGTTTATGAAGTGCTGTTTTTCGGCAAGAGCCATTTCTTCGTGCCCATGGGGGGTGGTCTAGATCATTTCGCCCTCTCCGCCCTCTCGGGATCTGTCAGCGTCGCATCGGGGAATCGGATGGAATCGGAGTGTGCGTCGGATCGGGATGCATCGCCACGGAGCCGAGATCGAACCGGATCGGCCGAGCCAGGACGCACAACGGCACCGTGCAAGCATCGGACAACACCGGAACGTCCGGGGAGCCGAATGGAATCGGATCGAGCCGGCTCATCAGAGGAAGAAACAGCGGCATAAAACTGTTGACGGTCCGCGCAAATTTCTCGGATCTGTGCAAGAACGGAAACACGGCATAAACATAAACTGTTGACAGTCCGCGCGAATTTCTCGGATCTGTGCAGGAACCCCTCCCTGGCACGCGGAGCGCGCCAGGTGCGGCGCCAGAGGCGCCGCCAGGGAGGCCCAATCGCCGGCCTGAGGAACCCACGCGGAGCGCCGAAAGTATGTATTCCGAGGCTGGCTCGACATCGCATCGCAGTGATCGGATCGAAGAAGACCCTGCCACCCCACCCAAATCCGCCACCTGCACGGCGGTGGCGCCGGGCTGGTGGAACGCCTGCGGCGGGGGGGCGCGCGCAAAGGTAATTCCAGGAGGGAGGGGGCAGGAGGGAGGGACCCTCCCCTCACTCCTCCTCCCCCTGCTCCTCCTCCTCCTCCTCCTGCTCTTCCTCCCCTGTGACCAGCCCGCCGATGGAAAAGGAGAGAGCGGAGTAATGCAGGGACCAGCTTCCCCTCCACGTCCTCCTCCCCCTCCTCGTCCTCCTCGTCCTCCCGGATCTCGCGCCCTTTCGGGGAGTGCGCGATGCCAACCTATTCGTCCTATTCCTCCTTGCATTCCTCCCTCCTCCCCCTCTCCTCCTATTCCTCCTTCTATTCCTCCTCCCTCTATTCCTCCTCTTTCTTCTGTCTGTTCCTGCTATGCCTCCCTCTCCTCCTATTCCTCCTTCTATTCCTCCTCCCTCTATTCCTCCTCTTTCTTCCGTCCATTCCCGCTATGCCTCCCTCTCCTCCTATTCCTCCTCCTTCTCGACCTCCGCCTCGGCCTCCTCCCGCTCTCCACCAGCGCAGGAGCAGACTGCAGGCCCATGATGGGGAGCAAGGGCGGAGAGGCCAGAGACACGGCAATGTCGCCCGCTGTGAACAAATGCAATGCTAGGATCTCGGGGAGAGAGGAGGGGGAGGAGCAGGAGGAGCAGGAGGAGCAGGAGGAGGGAGGGCCTGAGGGAGGAGGGAGGAGGAAAAGGAGAAAAAAGCCAAGCGCGCTCGAGCCCGCCCCTTTTGCCGCACAGAGCGGCCGAGGCGGTGGCCAGCGCGGCCATTCAGGTGCCCGCGATATCCAGAACAACTACCTGGACATCCTTTTCTCTCGTGCCACTGCGAGGTGCCACGCCGACATCCACGTCGGCTACATACCACGACATTCACCACACGATCCCGCAGCCCCGCCTAGCACAGGCGACTGCGTCGGCATCACGCTGACGCACGGTCTCTTCTACGGCTTCACAGAGCACGTGAACTACTCCAAGAGCATCATAACGCAAATCGGCCACAGCGACATCCACCTCAAGCTCCAACCACGGCTGCGCCACGAGAATCAGGGGCGAATGGGGAACTGCGCCTCCACCGTTGACATCGACATCGAGCCGCACTCCAAGCTAAGGACCGACGCCACGTACCGCTGCACCGGCGATTGGAGCAGGCCTCGACCGCATGAGGAACTACAATTGGACGGACCAGTCAGTGGGCGAACGACCATCCCGACAAGTACTGGAACCAGACCTACAGCGGGAAGGGCAACAACTACAGTGGCAACAGAAACACCACCAAGAATGACTACGAGGGCGACAGCCAGAACCAAAAGGGCAAGAACAAGACCAACAAGGGCAAGGGCAAGGCAAGGCAAGTCCCCAACCCGAACAGAAACAGAGGCCCAATAAGAAAGACATAAACCAGGACTACAACGACCACATCACCAACGCGATCAACAACGGCATGCCCATGAGGAAGATCTGCGCCACCAGGCGCCACGACTGGGAGATGCTACCGATCGACCGCAAGCTGAGGGAGGAGTAGAAGAACATCGAAACAACATGGAACAAAGACGTGCATCAACAGCCGTCGCGAAAAACAGTGCTGCAGGAATACCAACACACGACGCAGTCACGCGGAGGACACAAGAGCAACCAGGAGGAGGAGGAGGAGGAGGAGGAGGAGGAGGAGGAGGAGGAGGAGGAGGAGGAGGCCCCGTCCGCACAGGCCTGGGGCGGGGGCGCGTGCTGGTACGGCCCCGCCACGCCCATGAACGGCGCAGGCTGCGCTCTCTGCGGCGCGCCCGGCTGGTGCTGGTGCTGCAGCTGCCCCGGCAGCGTCTGGCGGGCCTGCGGCGGGGCCTTCGGCGCCTGGTGCGCGTGCACCTGTCGGGGGGCACGAGCAGAAGCGTGCGGAGCTCCGCGAGGATTTCTGAGATCGGCGCTGCTGGACTCCCTCGGTGGTGCGCGGAGATCGCCGAGGAGGGGGGCCAACACGCTCCGTGGGCCAGGGACAGGGGCTCCAGCGCCGCCCCGAGAAGTCCGCGCGGAGCGCCGAAAGCTGTATGTTCATACTACGTGGCGACATCCGAACCCTACCCCCGCCAACAATCAATTATCCTGAATCGATGGGAGGCGGGGATGGGCTTCGGATTCCGCCGCGTGTTCGACTACCACGAATCGGACACCGTACCCTACCACTGCCACCCATCGAGTTGCCTGACTCGTTCATCGGCCAGGGTAGGATTCGAATTTCGCCGCCGAGTGCCATTTTTGCTTCTGCGCACCTGGGGATACCCCGCCCCCGCCGTCCTCGGCGGCGGCGCGTACGCCTGCGGCGCCGGCGCGGCAGCCGTGCGCCGGTGCTGCGCCTGCTGGTGGGCGGGCTGGGGCTGCTGCTGCGGCGGCGGCTGCTGCGGCTGGGGCTGCGCCTGCTGGGGGGCCTGCGGCGTGCGCGCGCCAGCGGACCCCGGCGCGGTGTGCGGCTGGTACCTGCCGCAGCTCCTCTTCATCGCCCTCGCCCTTCCTCCTCGTCGTCCTCGTCTTGCCTCTCGTCGGCACAGTCCCCCCCCTTCCCTCCCTCCACCCCTCCTCCTTCCCCTCCTCTTTGGGCATCCTGTGCTGCTGCCCGAATCCACCCCCTCCTCCTTGCCCCCAACCCTCCCTCCTCCTTGCTCACCTCTGGAAGTGTAGGAGAACTAGGATGAGCACGACGACGACATTGACGACGACATTGACGACGACGACGACGACGACGACGACGACGACGACGACGACGACGACGACGACGACGACGACGACGACGGTGACGACAACGAAGACGACCTGCTGGCGTACGCCGGCGGCGCAGAGTGGCCAGCGGCCACTCCGGGGCCCGCCGCCGCCGCCTCCGCGGTGGCGAAATCGGCCACCTGGCGGCCGTCCCCAGCGCCGTGTGCCCGCTGCTGCTGCCGCTGCGCCGCCTGCAGGGGGGCCAGCGAGCGACGGCGGCGGCGGCGGCGGACGGCGGCGACGACGACGGCGGGGGGGCCCTCGCCTCGCCCTCGCCCTCCTCGTCGTCCTCGTCGTCCTTCTGCTCCTGCTCCTGCTCCCCCTCCTGAATCCGCGGCCCCGGCACCAGACCCATTTTGGGTCTGGTGTCCACCAGGGCCAGGCGTATCGGCCGACGGTCCACGGAACAAAAAAGCAGGACTGGTAAGCGTGTCCCAACAGGAGGTTTTTGTCAACACCCAGGCGGAAGGCCGAAGACCACCCGGATGCCCCTGCTCATTATGCTCCTCCGTCTCCTCCTGCTCCTCCTCTTCCTATGTCTCATCCTCCTCTCCCTCCATTTCCTCGTCCTCCTCGTCCTCCTCCTTCTTATCCGTCTGCTCATCACCCATCCCATCATCTCACCATATTCTCACCTCTTCCGTCGTCGGAAGACCTATAACGTGCTCCTCGTCCGCACCCTCCTGACTCCTCGTCCTCGTACTCGATCCTGCCTGCTCCCCACCACCAGAATCATCATGATCACCATCACCATCAGCATGATCAGCATCATCATCATCATCATCATCATCATCATCATCATCATCAGCATCAACAACATCAGCATCATCATCATCAACAACATCATCATCAGCAGCAGCACCATCATTCCCCTCCTCCTCATCATCAGCAGCATCAGCATCGAAATCAGCAGCAACAGCAACAGCATCATCATCCTGTCCATACTCTTGATCCTCCTCATCATCATCACCACCACCATCATCATCATCATCATCATCATCATCATCATCATCATCATCATCATCATCATCATCAACAACACTGTCATCATCAACACCATAAACATCGCCGTCATAAGCGTCCACGCAAACATGCACATCATCGCCATACTCCTCCTGACAATATTTATATGCAGAGTCATCTTCGTCCTCATCATCACAATTTCAAAGCATCATCAACATTAACACCATGATCAACACTATCGTGTTCACTACATCACAACCGCACACATCCCCTAATCCGCCATCGCCCTCCCCATCCCTCTCTTCCTCCGCCATGCCCCTCCCGCTTCTGTACCTCAAGGCCCGGCATTCCCATCCGCGCTCTCCCAAGACCCATCCTCCCATTCTCCCGCCCAACCTTCTCCTCGGAAAAGGGGTGAGGGGGAGGAGCTCGCCAGATATGGCGCGAGCGCACTTATATTGTTTCACTCCCCGTTTCCATTCCCACCTCTCCATCTCCAGTCCTATCACTGTGTCTGGGAGCCCCTGCTGAAGGCACCATGGGCTCGGCACTCGGCCGCCTTCCTCCTCTTTTTTTCTGCTCCTTTGAACGGAGTACGTGGCCAACACTGAAGAAATCGAAAAAAAGTGCAGACACAGCTGCAGCACCCCCAGCAAACAGGCGGGAGGATAACCAACCACTCCAGCAGAGCGTAGGGAATGGGTGGAGGGGACTCCCTCCTCCCACCACCCCCTCCTCCACTCCCCCTCCCCTCCCCCTGCGCCAACTCTTCCTCCTCCTGCTCCCCAGATGCGGTCTGACCAAGGATCCGGGGCGAATCCAGCAGTGGCGACGAGGGCCTCTCAAAAGGCCCAGACAAGAACGAAGACGAGGGACGGACAGCGGTATCAGCACTTTCTCCTGCATTGTCTCCTCTTGTGACCTCCCTCTCCTTCCTCTTCCATCCATCCCGTATGGACAACTCCTCCCTCTTGCACCCAGGGGTCGGTCGAAAGAGGAGGACCGGCTGTTGAGGAGTATGCGGTACGCTTACCTGTTCTTCAATCTTGAATGCTCTCTTCGTTTCTCTGTTTTCTGTTCGTGTGTGTGTGGATGGTGATGGTGGCGGTGTGTGTATGTGTGTCTGTGTGCGTGTGCGTGTGCGTGTGCGTGTGCGTGCGAGTGTGCGCGTGACTGTGCGTGTGCGTGTGCGTGTGCGTGTGCGTGTGCGTGTGCGTGTGCGTGTGCGTGTGCGTGTGCGTGTGCGTGCGTGTGCGTGTGAATGTGTGCGCGTGTGCGCGTGTGCGCGTGCGTGTGCGTGCGCGCGTGCGTGTGCGTGCGCGCGTGCGTGTGCGCGTGCGTGTGCGAGTGCGTGTGCGTGTTCGTGTGCGTGTTCGTGCGCGCGTGCGTGTGCGTGTGCGCGTGCGTGTGCGTATGCGTGTTCGCGTGCGTGTGCGTGTTCGTGTTCGTGTGTGTGCGTCTGCGTGTGGGTGTGCGTGCGCGTGCGTGCGCGTGTGCGTGCGCGTGTGTGTGCGCGTGCGTGTGCGAGTGCGTGTGCGTGGGCGTTTGCGTGTGCGTGTGCGCGTGCGTGTGCGCGTGTGTGTGCGCGCGTGCGTGTGCGCGTGCGTGTGCGTGTTCGCTTGCGTGTGCGTGTGCGCGTGCGCGTGCGTGTTCGCGTGGATGCTCGTGTGCGCGTGCGTGCGCGTGTGCGTGTGCGTGTGCGCGTGCGTGTGCGTGTGCGCGTGCGCGTGCGTGTGCGTGTGTGCGCGAGCGTGTGTGTGTGTGTGGTGTGTGCGTGTCTGTGTGTGGTGTGTGTGTGTGTCGTGTGTGCGTGTGCGCGCGCGTGGGCGCGTGCGCGTCCTGTGTGGTGTGCGTTGTGTGTGCTTGGATTCGTGTGTGCGTGTGCTGCGTGGTGTGTGGTACGTGGTGCGTTGTGCGTTGTGTGCTGTGTTCTGTGCCGTGTGTTGCGCGTTGTGTGTGTAGGTGCGTGAGTGCGCACGCGAGTGCATGTGTGCGCGCGTGCGTGCGTGTGCGCGTGCGCGCGTGCGTGCGTGCGTGCGTGCGCGCGTGCGTGCGTGCTTGCGTGCGCGCGCGCGTGCAAGCGTGCGCGCGCGTGCTTGCATGCGCGCGCGCGTGCGCGCGTGTGGTCGTGGCGCGCGGTGGTGGCGGCGCGCGTGGCTGTGCTTGTTGCGGTGCGCGTTGGCCCCCGCAAATGTGAATGCGTGCGCGAGCGTTGGTACGAATGCGCAGGCGCATGCGAATGTACGCGTGGATCTGCACGCGCATGCGAATGCGAATGTGAAAGTGATTTTGGATGCACATGCGAAAATGTGAATTTGCGTGCGAATGCGCACGCGCATGCAACTGTGAGAGCGAATGTGGACGCGAATGCAGATGTGCGGATGCGAGGTGGAAGTGCACGCGGATGCGAATGCGGATGTGGATGCGAATGCACGCGGACGGTGGATGCGATTGTGACCGCGGGTGCGAACGTGGATGCGAATGCGAACGTGGGCGCGCATGCGGATGTACATGTTAATGTGAATGGGAAACATGGAAATGCGACAGCACATGCGCATGTGAATGCGAATGCGGATGTGGATGCGCATGCGAGTGCGTATGTGACTGCGAATGTGGACGCGGCTGCGCATGCGAATTTAAAAGTGCACACGAACGCGAAAGTGAACGCGAATGATAACGCGAACCCAAATGCAAATGTGAATGCGAATGTGAATGCGAATGCGAATGTGAATGCAGATGTGAACGTGCACGTGAATGCGAATACGAACGCGCGTGCCAATGTGAATGAGAACGCAGATGCGAATGCGAATGCGAATACAGAAAAGCATCAGGATATGAATGTGTGTGCGCTTGTGCGTGTGGGTGTGCGTGTGCGTGGGCGTGTGCGCGCGCGTGCGTGTCGTTGAACGTGGGCGTGTGCGCGTGGGTGTGCGTGCGCGTGTGCTTGTGAGCGTGCGTGTGTGCGTTGCGTTTGCGTTGGTTGTCTGTCGTTGTGTGTTGCGAGTGCGCGCGCGCGTGTGGATGCGTGCGCGTGCGGGGGGGGGGGTCTGCATAGCGGGCGGGCGGGGAGGGGGGGCGGCGGCCCCCCCCCCTCCCCCCCCCCCCCCCCCCCCCCCCCCCCCCCGCACCCCCCCCACCCCCCCTCCCCCCCCCCCACCCACCCATCCAAAGAAAAAATGGCAGGGCTGCATTATTTTGGGGGGAGTGACCCCCCCCCGCCCCCCTCCCCGGAAAAAAAGCGGGGGCGGTCTTTGATGGGCTTGGCAACGCTTCGCGACTCAGCCGGGCTCGCGTACCAAGCCTTAGCCGGGCTTTGGAAAGCTTGCCAAGGCTTAGCAGTGGCTGGTGGCGATCAGCAGGGCGCACCAGATACTGGCAAGGCTTTGCCGAGTTCGCCTGAATTTCGCAACGTTTAGCAGGCTCAGCAAGGCTCAGCAAGGCTTATCGAGGCTTGAGCAGGGCTTACGAAGTCTTAGCAAAGCTGGCCAGGTCTTAGCAGGGACTTGGCAGGGCTCAGCAATGCTCAGCATGGCTCAATGCTTCGCAAGAAGCAGCAGGGCTGAGCAGAGCTTGCCAAGGCTGGGCGGGCGGCGGCGGCGGCGGCGGCGGCGGGCCCGACGACGGCTGGCAGGACCCGGCAGGGTTCAGCAGGGGCTATCAGGGCATAGCAAAGCTGACTAAGGCAGAGCAAGGCTCACCAACTCGTAGCAGGGCTCAGCAGGGCCCAGCAAAGCTCAGCAAAGTTCAGCTGGGCACAATGCTTCTGAAGGAGCAGCAGGGCTGAGCAAAGCTTGACATGGCTGGGCGAGGCCCAGCATGGCTTGGCAGGGCTGAACAAAGCTTGCCCAGGCCAAGCTTGGCAAGACTTAGCAGGACAGGGCCTACCAGTTCTTAGCAGGGCTTCGCAACGCTTGCCAAGACTCACTTAGGCTCGGCAGCATTTAGCAGAGCTCGCCTGGGCTGAGCATAGCGTGGCAAGGTTTCTGCAGGATCAGGGGCTTGCCAGGGCTTGTGCAGGGCGCAGATGGACTTAGCGGGGCTTTGCAGAAGTGCCAGGGCTCCCCAGTGACACGCGCTGTTTAGCATGGCACACCGGACCTAGCAGGGCATTGCAGAGCACGCAAGGACTTCGCAACGCTCAACAAGCCCTCTCGGGTTTACCACGGCTTGCCAAGATCGAGATGAGCTTACGGAGGCTTAGCAAGGCTTACCGACTCCTTAGCTGGGCTTAGCAGGGCTCAACAAAAAGGCCTCGCGAGGCGCAGCAGGACTGAGCAAAGCTTGCAAAGGCTGAGCAAGGTTCAGCAAGGCTTCGCAAGGCTTAACAAAGCTTGCCAAGCTCAGCTGGGTGTTGCCAGGTTGACCCAGCTCAGCAGGGCTCAGCAGCGCATAGCAGGGCATAGCAACGCTTGCCAGTGCTCAGCAGGGCGTACCAAGGCTGGGCAAACGTTTGTTGTCACGCGTCCACTCGCCCAGGCGGATGTCTTACATGAGGAGATGGGGCGGATGCATCGGGCAAAAGCTTGTTTTCACGCGTCCAGGTTGCCCAAGCAGATGTCTAACAGAACGAAATGTTGAGAACGTCTCGAGCGAGACGCTTCGTTGCACGCGCCCACGTCGCCAGGCGGATGTCTAACATGACCTAGGATGTGCTGGGGATGTCTCGAACGATACGTTTTTTTTGCACGTGTCCAGGTCGCCCAGGCGGATGCCACA